AAGGATTTTAGAAAAAAGTATCGTCTTATAGTCAGAAAAATATGGTATTTTTGGTTCTTAAATTTCTCACCTTCTCTTTTTGAGGATCTCATCAATTCCATCCAATCATGGTCCCAGCCTTCCCTTTCCTTTCAACCCATTCACTCTTCCTTCAGATATCTGTTTTGCAATTTAATTCCCATCCATTCTCCCTATATGGCCAAACTCTTCAATGTTCTTTCAAGATTGCTTACTCACTTTTGCATTCAATCCACATTCAGGATTCATTCACTTTTGACTTTATCTTTCTTTTACCTCATACACTTTTGAAGTACTCCGTTCCCAGTTTCAACTTACCGATATGTTTTTCCTGGCTTTTCTCAATTCCAAATGACAAAGTGGGCACAAGCACATTCTCATATACAGCCATTTTTGCTTCTTTTGACATTCATTCCACATAACATGTAACCAGCATCTGCACATCTTAAAATAGTTCCATTCATTTTACCATCTTTAGTAAACATTTTACCAAGGTACACAAATTAATGTATTTGCTCTACTTTTTTGCCATTTATATATAAGTTTGCAATTGTTTACTCCATTTTGTCAAACACAATTGTCTTGATATTTATGTATTAATTTTCAGTTCTATGCTCCTTGTTACATCATAGTTTATATAACATTTAGCTATTGTTTGAAGGTATTTCAGTAATTTTCATGAAAAGCTTTTGGTGAGTTCTGTAAACATAGGTGTTTATCATTTACATATCTCAAACTGAATGGCAGAACAAATTTATTTAAGGATGTGAATGATGCTATTTTTATATAGATTTTCATTATTAGACTACGAACTGTTCATGTAAGAATATTCTGCAATACTTTTATAGAACAATTCTGGCTTCAGGAAAGTCTAGAAGCAATAATTCTTCAAATAAAGAGTTACTTTACCTCCTTCATAGAAATCAGACAAGTCAAATTTTCATAAAGTGGGTATTAAATTATCTGAATTCAACATGATAACCTATAGTCTAATAAGAAATGTTTTACTATGTAATATTTTGCAGTTACTTGACTTAAAATAACTAAGTTCAGATGCAAGTTGTGGGCATGAACACTTGGGAGCAATAGTTGCATAGCAGTATAGCAAATAACCTGGAAACTCACTGAATAATTTTTAAGTATAAATGACATCTTCCTAGTTACTGGAAATCCTACTTCCTCACAGCAGCTGGGTGGCATTTCTTTTGTTAGTTTTCAAGTTATGTTTTTTTTAACCCTTCTAACTGAATTTGGTAGATAAAATATTAACAGGTATAAGCTGAAAGGAGCTTGTATCCATTAGATCCAGAGTGACAAGAATCACTCTGGTTTCCACTTTGTCCACAGGAAAACAGAGACCATTTCCATCCTATGTCCCTTAGGATGCCCTCCCAAGAATTATAGGTTTTCAGCCTTACTGGGCAATTCTTTGCATATCTATTACATTTAATGAGCCTTTCTTCCAGGGTGTTGCTCAAAACTACTGCTAATTAAAAGAGATGGCTTCACTGAATTCTGCATCAGATTGCCTGGGCTCATGCTTAAATCCGATGATGAAGAAGAAGAAGAAGAAGAAGAAGAAGAAGAAGAAGAAGAAGAAGAAGAAG